GGCAGCACAAGGGCTACCATTGCTTCCAGGTTTGTTATGCAACCAATTGAGAACTCTCAAAACTCACATGCATAGTCAACTTTAACTGGAATGCTCACAGAAACAAGAATATTTGAACACGATAGGTCACAAACCTCAAGTCGTGTGCTAGTGTTTAACAATAGGTTTATTCTTGATTAGTTCTTGAAACTTGTCAAGATCTTTAAGACTCCCACTGACCTCTTGACATATATGATTCACTTTGTCAAGGAATCATTCCTTGACAAATCAAATATTCAAGAGTTAGTGCGGATTCTTATCAATACAAACACTTCACACAACTGGCCTTAGTTGGTCTTTGTTTTATCCAAAACATCACAACTTACCAATTTCAAATGTTCAAGAGTAGAAAACTTTTACTCTACATTAGATAAGTGTTTTAAACCTTTCTTAAGATCATGTCACTCAAGGTTACAATCTTGGAGTATTACTCTAAAACTTGTTTTGGGAACAAAGTATGACTCATCTTCTTTATTTAAACTATTTCAATAATTCACGATTCCTCTTCTTAGCCATACAAATGCACTAAGATGTCTTTAGAGGATCAATTGTGATATGGTTTTTCCATAAACTTTAAGATGATCATAAAACACGATACTAAAGTACTCTTCCATCTTTTCAGATTGGAGAAACTTTATCTTTCTGCCTAATTTGATTCTTCTCATTGGTTTTGCCATACATTGAACCTTTTCCAATGTTTCAGAATTATACTTAAACATGTAAGCATAACCATGTTTACTAAACTTTAGTAACCTCATGACGAATAGTCTTATCGATCTTTGTGGTGGACCTTGACCAGCGTACACCCAGTGTACCCGATCCCCTAGTCCTTCACTCGATTCACATATACATGTGAACAAGGAATTAGTCTTAATTTTCCAAAGAAAAAATTCTCATTCATCATACAATACAACTTGCATGATTCGAAGTTTCTATCCAACTGAAGCTTGGGTGATGAGAATCATTCCTTATTTAGCAAATTCTCGACACTACCACAAACGAAAGAATCTAATTCATATTGCTAACATGGAAACATACAAACATCAATTTTTCATAAATGCCATTGGAAGGAGATATAAAAAAATAAAAACAAAAATTTATTTATTTATAAAATGCTGAAAAAACTTTTCCTTACAATGCAATTATTACAAATGAAAACTATGTTATTACATATTTCCTAGTAATCTATCATAACTCCTAAGCACCAACTCAAAAATCCGATCTTCGAACCAAGCGATTAAAATCCATCTTCGCAATCAGATTCAACATAATCTTCCTTTAAGCTTCCTTACCTTTGCATGATCCTATAAAACATCAAAATGCAACCTTGTCACATCATGTATTAAGAATCAACAAGTAGGAACTTAATAGATTTAGACAGTAGACTTACCTGAAGCAGAGTCAAAATTTTTCGATTCTACCTTTTCTCAAATCTTTCAGGTAGTCAGGGCAGCTTCGCAACCAATGCCCCTTCTCTTGGCAATAGAAACATATAGACTCTTTGGGAATGGTACACGGGGACAATCTCATACTTAGCCTTTCTCTTTCCCTTAGAAAGAGAAATATTTTCTGGACTTCCAATGTTTCCATTGTCAATGTCCATGGAAGTTTGGGGAGTAGATCTTCCAATCAAATTTGCTTTTCCAGTGCGCCACATCATTGCAGATTCATCAGCAACAAGCAAATAGGTAAGATCAACAAGGGTCATGTCGTGGTCTGTCACATAGTAGACCTTAATGAACTCACTATATGACTCAGGAAGTGATTGAAGAACCCAGTCAACCGCCAACTTCCTCGAGACAACGACACCCAATACTCTCAGTCTGTTAATATTTGACTTCATCTCCAAGACGTGAGTACACATAGGCCTTCCATCTTGATGTTTCATTGCAAGTAGGGCTTGAGTGACCTTGAATTTTTCAAGTCTTTGAACTTGTGGGTTAGGGAGAATTATTGGAGGAGGTGGAGGAAGTGAAATATGACTTCCACGATCCAACTGCGGGACATCATCTTCAAGAGGAAAGCTTGTTCCAAAGCATTTGGGAAGTCCATAGTTGTCTGAACTAGACATCTACAATGGGAGAAATTCAAGTTAGTTGATTTAAGTCCTTAATATAACACCCAAATGAAATATTAAGGCTAGGACCCAAAACAATATTTTACAACTTGGAAGAGGGATGCCGTAATCCAAACCGCAAAATATTTGAAGGTAGGTAAATGACGATTTACCAATTTCCACCACGAAAAACGAAAAAGAGTTTTAGGTTTAAAGTGAAATGACACTTCTAGATCCTTTGAGATTCATTGAACAAATCAATGGCATGTTTAAATCTCGATTGTGCCCTTCAAGTTTGTGACTGGGATGCCGAGGATCACAAACTAGGTGTGAACAACCATGCAAATTAGCTTGGTACACCCAATGTTACAACCACCTAATCAATGTGCCGGTTAACCACACACGCTCCATTGATCTATGATTAACATCAAGCTATCCTTTGCCACGCACTGTCAGTCCATATTAGTGTGCCGGTTAACCACACACGCTCCACTAACGGCTTAAAAGGTGCAAAGTGCAATTTCATGGGTTAGCACTATATTCACATTTTCCTAAGTAACTAAGATTGGGAATTTATAAGTGTTTAGTTACTTTATATTTATCATTATACTTTTAATGAAGGTAGAATTAGAGTCCTATCCTACCCGTTCGGCTAACGACCCTCCACCAGTCAAGGAAGCGGTGGGTGAGAGTGGACACCCATTAAACTGTCATATATAGGCAGTAACCTTATAACCCCGTTATAGACCGGCTTCGTGAATGAGGCCTACTAACGGTAAGACTGACTTTGTTCTTATACATATATATATATATATATATATATATATATATATATATATATATATATATATATATAATATATATATAAATATTAAAACTATAATATTATAATAGTATAAGGATTGAATTTTAAACTTTTAAAATTCTAGGGTTTGGAATTAAATGTTTCAAAAGTTAGATTTTTACATTTTCAAATTCCAAAACATGAGTGCAAGTTTTGTAACTTTCAAAACCTTTTGGAATCCATAACTTATGAGTTTAATATAGGTTTTAATGAAAAGACTATTGAAAATCCATAACTTGAGGACAAGTTATGGAGTTCATAAAAACATTCATGGAAAAAGACTCTTCAAGACCATAACCTATGAGTTTAATGAACTCTTTAAAAGAAAAACTTTTCATTTTCCATAACTTGAGGACAAGTTATGGAATTCGTCAAAATCATTTAGATCAAAATTCTAACAAGAAAATCAAACAATTTGTCTATGATCTAAATTAAACTCATAAGAACAAGACAATTCATATCAAACAAATTTCATGTAATTAGCTTAACCATATAAACTAATACAAAACATGAATATTTGATAATTATCTTTTAAATTGGATAAGCATGATCATTACCACTTCAAAAACTGGTTTATAAGATCAAAAATAGTTTAGGGTAATGATCCTAGTCCAATTCCAGCCAAAAAACTCGAAAAACTGCATTCTGGGGCACCAACTCGTCGAGTGTATGAACCAACTCGGCGAGTTAGATGAATTTGTACTTGGACTCGGCGAGTCCCCCAGTGGACTCGGCGAGTCCACTGTTTAGAACAGCAGAAAATCGATTTTTAAGGCATTCCAAGCAAGAGCATCAAGTATAATTGAAAACAAGCCTAGTCTCTGATACCACTGTTGGGTTTTAAGCATTCTAACACTCCTAAGGTGTACATGCAACCCTAAATACCTTGGATCTATGTTTTCTCTATTATACATGCAAACTTGAACTTTCCAAGGAAATACCCTAACTAGCATACAAAACATTGATACTTGGGTAATAAAACAAGTTATATGACATACCTTTTCTTGTAGCTTGGAAACCTTGGACCTTTAAGAACTTAGTGCCCCAAGTGTTGCACCTCAAATGGAATCACACAACACCACCAATAGAGGTACACACAAAAACCGGATCCTCGAAATGAAACCGATGACCGGATTAAACCGGTGACCGGATTCAAACCAGTTTGACATTTAGGACTCAAAATCGGATTTACGCCCGGATTACAAACCGGATTCTACGAAAACCGGTTCTTAAACCGTCGAAAAATCTGGTAAAACCTAAAAAAATCCGGATCAAACCGGTTGCAAATCGGATTTGGATTGTTGACCAGATTCGGATCGGAATTTGACCGGATCTGGATCAGATTTGGCCGGATCAGATTTGACCGGACCAAATTATTGACCGAATCGGATCTTGGGTTTGTGCATATCTAACCACCAACAAATGGAATAACTTGAGAGAAGTACACTTGCGTCACAAATCGGCTAGCCCTCACTTCTTGTCCCTTAAAAAGGTTGTCATTCCATGAGCTATGATGCTTCTTATATAGTGTGCACATTAGGGTTAGACCATGTAACTTATGACTTTCCACATTCCTCATGATCCATGGGTTTTAACCTCCATTGAGTATCCATGGGTCACCACATGGGGTTAGCCCAACATGAAGAACTATGGATCATAAGCCCACTTTATAAGAATGAATGATTCACCAAATCAATCCCCATTTATTTAATTAGTCTCTTTTGATCACAAAATTAATTCCAAACAAATTCTTGATGAATACTAATTAAATAATATGATTTCATATTAATATATTATAACTTATAATATATTAATAAATCATAAATATCCTCTTCTCACAAAAGTCTATCCAAATTGTTCCGATGCCATGCAACCGAAATGGACCATGCTACTCTCGGGTCGAGTACATACCAATAATAGTTATGGGCTTAGACACCTAATCCAACATATGGGGCATCCAAATGGCATCTCTACGAGATTTCTTTGTTGGTGGTGGTGATGATGGTGGGGACACCGCCCTCTTCTATGAGGGTGTAGCACCAACCTTCCTTGGGGTTTGCTTCACCCGAGTACCTGTAGGTATCTTGTAAAACTGATGTGTAGGAGTGGGGAGGGTGGTGAGGTCTCTGATGAGGTGGTGGTGTCCTCCTCGTCCTCGTTGGGATCGTACTCAGAGCTGAGAAGCTCTAGCCCAGCCGGTATGTAGTCTGGTGAAAGGGCAGGCTCTGAAGGGTGCTTAGCTGGAGTATAATCAGGCTCCGTATCATCACCGTCCTTCGGGGTATCGACTGAGTCATCAAGTACCGTACACTCCTCCTCTAATGAGGAAGCTGCCCTCCATGATCCATCGCCTTCCATGCTCTCGAAAAACCTGCATAAGACATGAAACAGGAAGATGTTTATGAGAGATGTAAAGATCAATTAAATACTATATAATACAAAATTATAAGTATTTAATAGATAGTACCCGTAACTCCTTTGTCCCCCGACTATGTCGTAAGTTAGAGGTTCCTAGGGCAGAAAAATCCTCGAGTGTAGATGTCGTTGAGTTAGCAATCCCCAGACGTAGAAGCCTCTAAGAGAAGCCTCTGAGTATGGAATCGTTTCCTATGCATCCAATCCAGAAGTCCTCAAACATTTAGATTGCTAACCACCGAATCCGATTTTGGTCATGCATCATTCAAACCATAATAAAACTCAGTTGCACATTCTAGGTCTAGTCGTGGTACGATCGTTGTAATATACCAACTCTAAATATGTTTTTTGCCCTAAAATCCCGAGTTGCGACTTCGTGGATTCGTATTGTTGGGTAGTAGGTATACTTATATGTGCGTATCTATATCGCTCTTAATCTTTGTTGGCTCAGGTGTATTTTAGGGTTTTGTACTCCAAGACTATCAAGAAAGGATCGGCCAGATGAGAAGTAGCGGAGGGTAGGACCATTTTAGCATATAGTCGTTCCGAAATCTAGCAACCCAATCGATAATTCAAACTAGTGACCTCTCCCGTAAGTAGTTAAGAAGTAAGGTAATTAATACTAATACTTATTATTAGGATTAAAGGGTTAAACCTAATCAGAGTGTAGTCGTAGATTATAGTTCTATTTCCTAAGGAATTACTAGTTCGGTATAATGTGTACCTCATATACCAATTAGTCACACCCATGGCTGGCGGCGGAAGCTCCAGGCTGTGCGACGTTAGGATGTTGGGATTCAGGCCAAGATATGTGTTGAATAATATACAATATATACTAAACAACTTAGCTATTTATTCATTAAATAAAATATATTACATAATTCTTCGAGATACATGTAGGTTACGAAAGCAAAGTATAAAGGCAATGCACATAAGTTCTGGGCTGCATCATCGGGGTTATCTCCTCATTCTGTGGGTTCATTCTCCTGAGAATACATGTGGTTTGAGAGGTCAAAATAGTGTTGCTGAGTCCACAGGTTTTATTGTTATAAAACGTGTGTGGGTATTTTAGTTATTTTGTTTATCCTAAGCTCACTTCCTTGAGTTTATGAGTACTATCACTACTTCCATAGGTAGGTTCCTAGTCGTAGTCTAAGATAGTTAGATGTCGGTTGATGTAAAATTGCTTCCTCGAGTTTGTATATACTATCACTACTTAATTAAATTAGTTCCTAGTAGTAGTTTACGATAGCTAGTTTTAGTTTGACAAAGTTATACTGAGTTTCTATAATCGAGCTATGACTGTTGATCCCGAAAATTCATGACGCTTCATCGTATGTCGCTGTGTGTTCAGAAAGTTATGCATGCTTCGATTTGCCATCCGGTTATGGATAGCAATCACCGGTGGGAGTGTCAATCCTGTATATATCAATACATATCTCTCTCGCTCATTTAAGAATTAACGCTTATAGGTCTGGAGCTAGTTGAAAATCTATCAGCATGTTGATGAATCATGTCTCGTGTAACTCTTGTCGTGGGCGCCTTCCCTGGTCGATCATGTTGTTAGTCATGTTATATTTATACGGGTTTACTAATTATATATATTATTTATCTGATATATATATATATATATATATATATATATATATATATATATATATGTGTGTGTGTGTGTGTGTGTGTAGCCAAGAATTTGGGCCGAGTAACACTAGGTACTAAGCTTATCCAAAGGATGACTATAATAACGTGCTTCAACGTTTCCTGGCAACTGGCCAGCGTAACAACTAAGTATGATCTTATCTATCATAGTGGTTTAGTATAACAAATAGGCATAATATTAGCTAAAGAGTTTGGGCAGAGTATCTACCGGGCATAATATCATCCTAATGTACTAGCATAATTATCTAACTACAATTACTAATAACTATGTAAAGTTGCATTTTTGAAATGTACTCCCCCCCCCCCCGAAAGATTTGGAAAATGGGGCCGTGAAACTCACCTGTGAGTATGAAAACATTGGTTTAGGGTAGAAACCACAAGTTGGCACTTCGAGAGTCCATCGGTGCAATGGCACGCGAAACGAGATAGAGAGAGAATCGAAGAGAGGGGTGAGGAAAATGAGATACCAACACTTTCTATTTATAGCAATTTTTAGACTGTGCGCCATGCAAATGCACGTGAACAGTACGATGACGACATGTGTTGTCTCCTCAGCGTGCCACATCATCACGTATCCAGACCTATCGGGTGTCAAGTGCGCACGACGCACTGCGCGAGCGTGCGTGACGGTGAAAATTCAACTTTGAATTTCTGTAAATCTCGCATACGAACTCCGTTCTCAACGACTCTTATATGTCCGTGTAGGTATCGTCATTCTCTACAACTTTCCTTTTGGTCATTTTCTCTAGTTTTGAGTTTCTTTTTTCGGCATGTTTTTATTACCGTTATAATTTTACAAAAATCATAACTCTCTCATATGACGTCCGTTTTAGGCGTTCCTTGCCTCATAATTCCTACTTTAAGTAGTACTACGATTGTCTAGTTGTGATTTTTTTCGAAAAGTCAACGAATCTTGTTGTGGTGTTCATCGTTGTAACTTTTTAATTATGGTAGAGATTCATTTACCATAAATGTCATATCCCACCCATACTATGTTGAATTCTTACGAAAATGTATATTTCTGGAATCGCGGTGGCTTAAGGAGTCTAAAAATTTTAACCTGCTATCAATGTGACGCGACTTTTTGCGCACTTATTATTGGGCCAAAAGTTTGATGTAATTAAGGACGAAAATATTGAATATATTAGAATATATTGAGTGTTTACAATGTTGTCCTTATTACAATTTTTACGTCCTATAGTTAAATATTTACGGTGGTTGGTGACGTATTGTCTGGGTTGTCACAAAATCTTTTGTAAGATGTGGCCCACTACAATTGTCGCATCCCACTTGAATCACATGAACTGATTGACCCATGTTCATGATTCTTCTATGCATGGTGTCAAGCTTTGCAAGAACTGAAGCAAGGTTGTCTTGACCACCATCTACACTTACCTTTCCTCTTGTAACATCCTCCCATGGATTCTGGTATTCTCTTACATGCTTGGAACGTTCTTCAATAAGAGCCTTGTTGGTAGCTGAATCTTTCTTTGTCATGGGCCCTTAGGAATCCAGAAGTTGCCTTGTGCTCACATTTATACCATCATAAAAGGTTGTGATTTTTTGTTGCACGTTCAAGTCATGTTGAGGGCAATTTCGTAACATTCCCTTGAATGCTCACATGGTTCGTATAACGACTCCCCATCATTTTGTTGGAAATTTGTGATGTTCTTTTTTAATTTAGAGACCTTCGAGGGTGGACTAAATTGTTGAGTGAATTCCTTTATTCAAGTTCGTCCATGTCGTGATGGCTCCTGGTGGATGTGATTTCAGCCAATTCTTTGCCGCATCCTTTAGTGTGACGGGAAGCATTCTTAACATGATCGCGTCCTAGGTAACATTAGTAAAATTGAAATAGTTGGCTATCTCCAACACCTCGTCAATGTGCTTGTATGCGTCCTCATGGTTCTTTCCAAAGAATGGTATGTCTTTGAGCATGCTAAGGATATGCCCCTAAAGCTTAAAATTCACCGCGACTAGAATTTCGAGTGGCACGAGACGCGGACCATTGTCATCACGCATACGCGGATTGTACTCCTCCATCATCATGGTCATTATGTTCCCGATCATGTTGTTGGGTTCACTTGTTCTCGTCATTGTCTGAGTTGCTCTCGGTTTCTGGCTTGTAACGTGTTCCTTTCTTGTCTAGAGTTTTATTTTCGAAAGTTGATACCTCGTCGAATTTGAAACTACTACTTGATTCTCCTTTCTTTTTGTCCTTTTTCTTGTGGAACTCGGATTCTGGATCGTCGAAGGGTAGCATAATTTAAAGGATGATTCCCTGGTCATGTACTACTGAAACAAAACAATGAAACATGCATAAAACGAATAAGAACGTAATAAACAAAAATCTGAAACCTCGGTTTCCAAGTCGTGGCAGTATAATGGCCACGTCGTGTAAACTGGAATTTCAGAAAATAAGAACTATAAAAAATAGCTTTTTGCGGATTTAACCCCACAAAAAGGATCGATTAACTAATAGCCATTACAGTTCAACTAAAATAAATTGTTCCCCCGACAACGACCCAAAAAACTGATGTATTTTATATAACCACTTAAAAAGCTTAAAAAATTATGTCGTGATTATTCACTTAGCTAAAACACAATAGGCGGTGTACCTAGTCGTGTAGTAGTAAAGTAGAGTAAATAAGAGTCGAACACCAATAACAAAATTCTAATTAAGAAAAGAATGCTACTAATTAAACTAAAAGAAACAAACTTAAGGGGGGGGGGTTATCTGATTTTTCAAGTTCAGAAAAACTTAATTAAACAATCTACTAAAAATTCTTCAAACTAAAGCTAACAACTAGAAAACAAGATTTGATCAAGAATTAAAAGATATTTCCGTTTAGCTTCGAATCCCCCTTTTTCTATGGTTAATTTCAAACAATGGATTAATATCTATTCGATACCAAACAAAAAGTCACTAATTATCATGATCGGACTAACTAACATATATCAATTTATGAACTTTAACCACAATGGTCATGCAAATTAAGAACACTAAATTGATTTTAAGATCTATTTGGGCTATAAATGAATAAATCTAAGAATTATCTATCCATGATCAAGATATACAATCAATCAATTATTATGATCAAATAATGCTTTTTAACACTTTTAAGCAACCAAATCTACCACTTACAGTAGGGTATGATCAACTTCTAGCTCTAGCAATCTAATGATCATAAACAACAAGGTAGACAAGTTCATGCAACCAATGGCCACTTAACTACACAAAACTAGAGGACGAAGTAATAAAAATACAAGAACTTTTAACATGA